AAAAAGAGACTAAATATGCTAAAGAATTTAGGGAATTGATACGGGAATGGGTAACAGGGGTTTGAGCTGGTGTGTTAAGGATAAAGGGATAATATTGCTGCTACTCTAAAATCTACTTTTACTACATAACTACTTCTAAGATCTACAAAAATTAAAAAAATCAAAACATCAACACTCCAAGGTATCACTGTTCATTCCTTGTTTCTCAGCTTGCCCAGTGCAGAGGGGCATAGCTGCTGTGCCAGACCAGGAGATGCTGTTGGGTTGGTGAGAAGAGCCACGGGTGTCCTTGGCTACAAGGGGGGTGCTGAGCCCTTGAGAAAGGCTGAGACACTGAGGGGTGTGGGATGGATCCCTCTGCTCTCAGCAGTGTCTGGGGGCTTTTCCGACCAAACTGGGAGTGTGATCAATCTCCATCTCAGGAAGGAGCAAACCCAGGGCAGTTGGGAACAAGACAGAGGGACAGACCAGCTCCTCTCACTCTGCACTAAGCCCCAGAAAATCCTCCTGCCTGGCAGGACCTGCTCTGTTCTTTCTGATTGTATCAGAAGTGCTGAGGGGTTCTGACATCCAGGAACACTCCTGGAGAGATGAGGGGTCTGAAAAAAAACAAACCCAAACATCTGGAACTGCCTTCTTCTCTCTTGGTTCTTCTGGGAGTGCAGATGCTGACAAGCCCTTTTGTACTGGGACCAGTTTCATCTGACACAGCTGAACACCAGGGTGGTCCCTGTCCCCACCATGACCATGACCCCAGGGGTGCAGAGCAGGGCTGAACCCTCACAGTCAGTGGGCACAGGGTCTGCTCCTCATGGAAAATGTAGTGAACTCCAGTCAGGGTTCCTGCCATGGAACTGAAGGAGAGACTCCTAGAAAATGTCTGTGAGAGAGAGAGGTGTTGGAAAGAGGTTTTGATTTTTCTGAGAATGTTCTTCCCTAACTTGTAACTGTCATTTCCTACTTGAACAGTGCCCCACATCAAGAGGCAACAAATGCCCAACAGCAGCTCCATGGCCCAGTTCCTCCTGCTGACATTGTCAGAAAGGTGGGAACAGCAACTGATGCACTTCTGGCTCTTCCTGGGCATCTCCCTGGCTGCCCTCCTGGGCAACGGCCGCATCCTCAGCGCCGTAGCCTGCGACCAGCACCTGCACACCCCCAGGGACTTCTTCCTGCTGCACCTCTCCCTCACAGACCTGGGTTGCATCTGCACCACTGTGCCCAAGGCCATCCACAACTCCTTCTGGGACACCATAACCATCTCCTACACAGGATGTGCTGCACAGGCCTTTTTCTTTCTGTTCTTCATCACAGCAGAGTTTTCCCTCCTGACCATGATGTGCTACGACCACTATGTTGCCATCTGCAAACCCCTGCACTATGGGACCCTCCTGGGCAGTAGAGCTTGTGCCCACATGGCAGCAGCTGCCTGGGCCACTGGGTTTCTCAATGCTCTGCTGCACACAGCCAATACATTTTCCCTGCCCCTGTGCCAGGGCAATGCCCTGGGCCAGTTCTTCTGTGACATCCCACACATCCTCAAGCTCTCCTGTTCACACTCAGGCTACCTCAGGGAACTTGGGTTCATTGTGGTTAGTGTGTGTTTATTGTTTGGTTGTTTCATTTTCAATGTGTTCTTTTATGTGCAGATCTTCAGGGCTGTGCTGAGGATCCCCTCTGAGAAGGGACGGCACAAAGCGTTTTCCACGTGCCTCCCTCACCTGGCCGTGGTCTCCCTGTTTATCAGTACCTCATTCTTTGCACACCTGAAGCCTCTCTCCTTCTCCTCCCCATCTCTGGATCTGACCCTTCCAGTTCTGTACTCGTTGGTGCCTCCAGCCCTGAACCCCCTCATCTACAGCCTGAGGAACCAGGAGCTCAGGGATGCCCTGTGGAAACTGGTAACTGGGTGTTTTTTGCAAACATGGATCAAGTGATTGCTATGCAATGACTTTCAGGGTACATCATGACAGGCCAACTCTGCTTTTCCTTTTTTGTTTTTTTTTCTTTTTATCCAATTTTTATGATGGTTTCCATAAACGTAATTATTTCTCCCCTAAAATATCCACCTATCTTGTGTGACTCATAGAATTTGCATAAATGGGAAACCATTTCCTCTAAGCAAAATAAATAAACCTTTAGCAACTTCTTTATCTAAGATTCATGGGAGGGAAAAACACCTTTCTGATTGCACCAGCTTGGGGCTGGTTCTTTTGTCTCAGAGGAATAGCAGGGGCAATGCTAGTGCTGGCACAGAGGGGCTGCAGAGCTCTCAGGACACCCTGGATAGGAACCACAGGGTGCCATGGACCTCCTTTCCCCTCTGTCCACCCATCTCTGTGTTGACTCCTCTCTGTGCTCCAGGAGCTGCTGTGCCCTTCAGAGGGGCTGGGGCTGTGTGGGGAGTGCCCAGAGCTCTGCAGCTCCCTGGGGTGGGAACTGCTGTGGGGCCAGCCAGGGCTGGGCTGGAAAGGTGGCAGGGGACCTGGGAGGGCCTAGAGGGAGCAGTGCTGAGCTGGAACCTTGCTGGGAGAGGAAAATATCAATGTGCATTTCCCAGGGTGTGATTGGCTTGTTTAAGGGCTCATTTCAGGGGGGTAGTGGGGTAGACCCAGGGCTCCTGGATGGCAGGTGAGGCAGGCAGGTTGTCCCAGTTTAAATGAGACAAGGGTCTTTTGCTAAGGATGGATTAGGAGAAAAAGACCCAAACTTCTCTTTCTAAGTAATTATAAATCCGAAATTAGGAAGTTCCAGTTGAAGGAAAACAAATTATGGAAAAGGGAAAATAACAGCCCTTTATTAAAGGTATGTGTGTATTAACAGGAACACGAAAAAAAAACCCAAGTAAAACAACCAAGCAATACTCTTATACCCACCAATAATCCCCTTCAAGAACAAAACCGATAAACCAGCAAAAGGAAAATTAAATAGTTCAATTTCTTGCACCCTTTGGTGCAGTTCCAACCACAGTCAGCAGGGGGCGCTGTCGGGTCACTGGAGATGCAAAACTTGTAATGTCCCGTACTATTCACCAGGTGGCGCTGTTGGGTCACTGGAGGTGCAGAACTTTTAGTGTCCTACAGTAGTCACCAGGTGGCGCTGTTGGATCACTGGAGGAACAGAACCTGTATTGTCCAGTGCCCGTCACCAGGTGGCGCTGTGAGATCCTTGGTTGCCACCAGGTGGGTTGGGGGAAGGGGAAAAAGCAACACCCCCCAGGGTATATTGGAGGAAAAAAACCAAAAAAACCTCAATTCCCCTTCCCTTTCTACACTGGAAAAAAAAAAGGGGGGGAGGGGGGAAGGGGGAAGGGAAAAAAAAAAGCAATAAAACAGAAAGTTCTCCCAATGGAAGAAAAAATCACGAACTTCAGCTGGTGAGGGTTCGCTTTAAGCAGGGCCTGCAGCCAGCAACAACTGAGCAGAGAGCAGCAGTAAACTCACCTCCGACAGGAAAGAAAAGAACCAGGCAGTGTCTGCAGCTCGCAGCAGGTCCCAAAGCCCCACCGGCACACCACCAGATTCTCCTCCCAGCCTGTGTGCCAGCCACACAGTAGCCCCCCCCCGAACCCCTCCCACTTTTTTGCCCAGGAGACAAGAGAAAAAAAAAGTAACGTGCAAGTCCTTATCTGCCTTGTTTCCTAGGAGACTAATGTCCGGTCATCAGCCATGGGGGCTAGGTCTTTTGTAATTTGAAGTGCTTATCTTGACATCCAGGGGGGAAGGGAGAAAATTCTTCACCTGGCTACGAGAGTTAGCTAAAACCACGACATCATCCACCCCTAATTTTCTCCCTTTCCCATGCCACCATACATCTATCAAATTAAACTTTTTTAAACTCCATACATACATACATTATTCTAAACTATGTACACATTCAAAAATATATAGTTACAGATACAGATACAGAGTTATGGCCTGTTTACCCTAAGATGATATCTCCTTGAGGTATGCACCGGGTTTCTCCATCTTCTTGCATCACTCACCATGTGCAACCAGGTCCTTGGGTAAAAACAATTCCACAAATGGATTTGCCTTTGTTCAAAGCAGGGTTAACCCAAACTGTTTTCCCTAACATACCTCTCATGTAAACCACTGGGACCTTGTCCCTGTCTACAGTGGGAAGGGACTCTGATCGGGCAGGGCCGGCTCGATTGATGGAGCCTCTAGTGTTGACTAACCATGTAGCCTTTGCTAGGTGTTGATCCCAGTGTTTGAAAGTGGCTCCACCTAATGCTTTCAGGGTAGTCTTCAACAGTCCATTGCACCCTTCAACCTTCCCGGCAGCTGCTGCATGGTATGGTATGTGATAGACCCATTCAATGCCATGCTCTTTCACCCAGGTGGTAACTAAACTATTCTGGAAGTGAGACCCATTATCTGACTTAATCCGCTCTGGGGTGCTGTGCCGCCACAGGACCTGTTTTTCGAGGTCCAGGATGGTATTTCTGGCAGTGGCATGGGGCACAGGATGTGTCTCCAGCCATCCAGTGGTGGCTTCCACCATGGTGAGCACATAGCGCTTACCTTGACGGGTCTGTGGCAGTGTGATATAATCAACCTGCCAAGCCTCCCCATACCTGTATTTATTTCACCGTCCACCATACCTCAGGGGTTTCAGTCTCTTAGCCTGTTTAATGGCAGCGCATGTGTCATAGTTCTGATTGTAGCAAGGAATTTTGTCTTTCCTTTCCCCTTCCCCCCGCTGTTAAGGAGTAATCAGATAACAAAGGAGTTGGCCTGAGACCTAAATGACCAGACATTTATCTCCGAGCAACGAAGGGGGAGGGATTGGGAAGAAGGCCAGGGTGTGTGTATGGAAAGAGGTGGGGTCTGGGGGGTTGGAGCTCGGCTCTGGAGCGGGAGGAGGAGGCTGCAGCACAGAGGAGAGACGGGCTGGTTTCTTCTTTGTTTTTTTTCCTGTAGGAGAGGAGTTTTTGCTGCTGTCTCTCTGCTCAGTTGTTTGCTGGTTGCAGGCTTGGTTTTCACTGCGAGATCTTCACCAACTGAGTCGTGAGTTTTTTCTTCCATTGGGAGAACTTTCTGTTTCCCTTCCCCTTCCCCCCTCCTCCCTCGCCACCCGGCGGTGACCAGGGTTCCCACAGTGCCGCCCGGTGACGGGTGCTGGACATTGCAAGTTCCACTCCTCCAGTGATCCAATAGCGCCACCTGGTGACTACTATAGAACATTACAACTTCTGCTCTTCTTGATATCTCAACAGCGCCACCTGGTGAACGGTATAAGACATTACAAATTTTTGCATCTCCAGAGACCCGACAGCGCCCCCTGCTGACTGTGGCTGGAACTCCACCAAAGGGTGCTAAAAATTGAACTATTTGATTTTCTTTTTTACCGGTTTTATTGGTCTTGTTCTTGAAGGGGATTATTGGTGGGTATAAGGGTGTTGCTTGGTTGTTTTACTTGGGGTTTTTTTTTCGTGTTCCTGTTAATACGCACATACCTTTTAATAAAGGGCTGTTATTTTTTCCCTTTTCCATAATTTGTTTTCCTTCAATCGGAGCCTCTTAATTTTGGATCTATAATTGCTAGAAAAGAAGGTTTGGGTCTTTTTTTCCTAATCCATCCTCAGCAAAAGACCCTTGTCTCAATTAAACTGGGACAGCATGTCTCACAGTCATGGATAACCTGAGAGATAGCATCCATGGTTCGATTCACCCCTCGGTCTCGTGCCCATCTGTAGGTGGTATCTCTGCCTTGATGGTCGGCGGCATCATGGTCCCATCGTGCTAAGAACAATTCACCTTTGTGCTGCCAGTCTAGGTCCACCTGTGACACCTCAATTTGTGCAGCTCGGTCTGCCTGTTCATTGTTGCGATGCTCCTCATTGGCTCGATTTTTGGGCACGTGGGCGTCTACGTGGCGGACCCTCACAATCAGTTTCTCTACCTGGGTAGCAATGTCTTGCCATATATCAGCGGCCCAGATGGGTTTTCCCCTACTTTTCCAATTGGTCTTCTTCCATCTGTCCAACCCCCCTCACAGGGCATTGGCCACCATCCATGAGTCCATGTAGAGGTAAAGTTTTGGCCACTTCTTTCATTCAGCAATGTCCAATGCCAACTGGACAACTTTGAGCTCTGTGAATTGGCTTGATTCACCCTCTCCTTCCATAGCTTCTGCAACTTGTCTTGTGGGACTCCATACAGCTGCTTTCCATTTCCGTTTCATCCCTACAATACTGCAGGAACCATCAGTAAAGAGT